GTTTTTCTTTTTGTAATTGGTCTATTTCCTGGTTTAATTTGGAGATATTGTTTTTGATTTCCTTGCGTTTTTGGCAATTAGAACAGGTTAACATAATATTTTTATTGTGATAAGTTTATAATTAGGTTTTTACAAAAAAAAAAAAAAAACAGGGTAAATTTGAGGATTATTTTTTAGTATTTTTAACTAATCAGATAATAATTCCTCACTCATAATCAATCCAAGTTATTATTTTCAAATCAGAAAGCCAAGAGATAATTTTTGTCGTGATAAGGTTTTTCTCCAAAACGTGAACTACCCCCACCTAATTAGAGGTGGGAGCTTCTCAATTCCTCACAGCATCTATTGGCACTGCTCCTTGAAGGCTAGTTCCTAACCTTTGTCGCGATTTATCAAAATCACTTCCATTAATTCTTAATGCTGCTCGTTTTAGAATATTACGGGCAGCATTGATGTCTCGATTATCTTTATAATCACAATAAGAACACTTAAATACTCGTTGACTTAACTTCAACTTTTCTTTTCGTTTTTCTCCACACTGATTACATATTTGGCTCGTGTTCCTTGCTTCAACTTCGACTACTCTCTTACCAGTTTCTTCCACTTTGTAATTGAGTATAGTCAAAAATAGATTTCAACCAGCATCATTAATGCTTTTGGCTAAATACCTATTTTTAATCCTATCGGATAAAATATTACATCTATTTTTCACCATATTCTTTATTTGAAGTTTTTCATGGGCTATTAGGTCATATTTTTCCACTAATTCTCGGCTTAATTTATGGGCTAAGTCTTTCCTTTGATTGGCTACTTTTTCATGTTTAACGGCTAATATTCTCACAGCCTTTTTTCTCCGTTTACTTTTCTTAATTCTCCGACTGACTTTCCTTTGGGCTTTGGCTAACTGTTTTTCGGCTTTTCGATAGGTTTTGGGTGCTTCTTTCAATTCCCTATCCGAAGTAGCCAAAAAGGAAGTTAAGCCCATATCGATACCTACCTTTTTCCTTGTCTTTGGTAATGGTTTTGGTTCAACTTCACAAGAGAAGCAAGCATAATATTTCCCATTTTTAACTAGAATAGAGCAAATTTTAATCACTCCTTCTAATTCTCGGTGTAATCGGATATTCACTAAACCAATATTGCTTAACTTTAATTGCTTTTGGTTAACTAATTTAAAACCATGTTGAGGATAGGTAAAACTGTCATATCTGAACTTGCTTTTAAATCTTGGGTAGCCTGCTTTGCCAGTTTTTAACCTTTGAAAGAAGGTTCGAAAGTTTTTGTGAACTCTCCGAACTATATCCTGTAAGATTTGAGAAAATATTTCAACTAGAAAAGGGTTCTTTTCTTTCCTATTTGGTAAAGAGTTAATTTGTTCGAAACATTTTATTTTTCTCTGCTCCTTTTCTCACGCTTCTTTTTTCTCGGCTAGGATGTCATTATAGAGTATTCGACAAGTTTCAAGGGTTCGGTCAATAGTTTCCTTTTGTTTTTGATTAGGATACAAACGATATTTAAAGGTTTTTTGGGATTGAATGTATTTTTTAATCACTTCTACTGAAACTCCTCCTGTGGTAAGTAAGCAAAAACTTTTGCTTCAAAAGAACTCTTTTCATAATTGCTTCTTAATGTTTGGATACTCTTTGTTTTTAAGACTGAATGAAGTTTAGTGGTTAGTAATTGTCTCACCACTTATAGAAGTGGGAGTATTCTTACTAGGATTATGGTAAATAACCTAAATATTGCGTTTATTAATTATTTTCTTAGGTTTCAATTGTCTTCTTCCATTTAATTTTTCTTTTAAAATTTCTGAAATTATATTAATTTTTTGGTAATCTTTATTCTTTCTGTTTCTCAGTCAATTTTCTTCCGCCTCTTTTTTGCCAATTATGATGGATAGAGGCAAAGTTGCGGACATATTTTATCTGTTTTTGCTCTCGTTCAGTTTTTTTTGGTTTTCGCTTACTGCCTACTAACTAAACTAATACTTTCAGTGATAATTTTAGTGCTCGTAGAAATCCAACTAATATTTTCATACTATTTTAACTATGTATTTTCTCACTTACTGTTCGGTATTAATGTTAACTTCTAATTAATATAGATATATACCGCTATCTTTCTATATCAAACCTTAAAAATTAAATATTTTCCGCCTTATATTTATCTGTCTCTTTCATAATTAAGCGTTTTGTGCTGGGGAGAAGCCGCCGCTAATCTGTTTTTTTTTTTTTTTTTGGTAAAAGAAAGTTTGGCTTCATATCTCCCCGCACTGTTCCGGCGGAAATATACTGCCGTAAAAGGGCTTGTTTTTTTTTACTAATTATTAATTGCTTAAATTCTCATTTATAATCACGATAAAGCTTAATCAAACAACTATCACAGATATATCTGTCTTGGTTTTTTTCTTCGCCAGTTCAATAGCCTCAGTTATTTTTTTGACTATAATTACCAGTTGATTGAACATACTTAACAGTAATTTTTTTCTTGTGATGATAAAAACAATCTTTAATTAAAGGTTTTTTTACTAGTGGCATAGTATATTATTTTTAGGTTGTAATGATACATTTTTTTTTTTTTTTGATTTATTGAAAACATTTTTAACACCACTTTTTGAAAACTAATTAATATACTATAAAATTAACTATTATGAATGCTGTTAATAAAATAATCCAAGACATAATCGAAAAAGTAAATAACATAAAAGAAAGAGAAAGAGAACGAGAGCAGAAAGAGTCTCATCCTTCCGCAAGTTTATTGGCTAATATTAGAATCGAAGTTGAAAACACTATTTCCCAAGAAATTTCTGATTCTCGCCAAACATCCCAAGCAATCGTCCAACTTCTTTGAGATAGATTTCAAGAATATTCTCAGCTAGGTTATCAACCTTACCCTGAATTAGAGGATTTAGCGAAGGTTGTCAGCGAATTAGGAATAGTGGTTGAAGAGGAAGTTTCGGAGCGAATAATTGAACATTTTAGACAATTTGTCCGAAGTAGTGAAGACCGGATTAATGAATTAGGAGGACGGGAAATGGTTAATTCCTCTCCCAACAAGGAGAATTTTTCAAAATGAGAACATGCTTTTAGGATGGAATTACAAGGCAAAGACGGGCAAATATCTCTTCTCACCCAACAAAACAAGAACTTGGAAAGAAACCAGAAAAATTTAGAAAAATGGCGATTCGAGAATGAAGAATATATGGAAAATGTAGTTGCCGAAAATAATAAGTTGCAAGAAGCAATAACAGAATCAGAACGTGTGAGAATAAATTATGATTATGAAATAGATGGTCATCTAGAACTAATAGGTGAATTACAGGAAAAAAATCAAAGCCTAAGTGGCAAAAATTCTCGATTAGAAAGAGAAAATAGGGAGTTAAGAAGCCAAATTAGTCAACCAAGCAATCCAGCGAAAAAAAAAGATTATTGAAGCAAAAGAGAAGAGGAAAATCAAAATCTTATTAAAAACTACGAGCTAGAAATCGCAACTAAGAACCGGGAAATAAAAGATTTGAAAAATAAAAACCAGCAACTGACTATGGAAAATACTTCTTTACAAGTTACTAGCCGCTCCCGCCAAAACAGCGTTCGTAATCGCACTAACTCAATTGAAAGTTCTAAATCGAAAGAAGGAAAAGAATTATCAAAAGAGTTAACAGGTGCCGTGAAAAAAAGACCATCGCTGGAACAGAAAATAATAAAAATGTTTAGTTGGAGTAGGAGAAGTAGCAATGCTAGTCCTAAATACTTCCCAGACAGTCCAACGAATTATTTTTCTTCATCCTCCGACCATAAAGATATAGATTCTGATTTATCAAAATCAATGGAAAGTCTGCTCCAAACGACTTCTTCAATTCATGAATTAGTTGGAGAAGAATCAGAAGAAAATGAGCGAATTGTGACCAAATTACAAGACCAAATAAAGGACTTGGAGAAAAGAAATTGTCTTTTAGAGGAAATGAATCGGGAAGTATGAAACCAAGTTGAGCAACTAGAACAAAAAAGTGAAAAAGAGTCAACCAAACTTGGTGCCGAAGGAAATGACCCTGAGCCCGCTCCCGAAGCATGTAAAAATTGTCCGCTACTTCGCCAAAAAATCGCTGATTTAGAGACCCAAGCCCAGAATTTTGCGAAAATATTGACCGCCAAAAATCAGGAAAATAAAACTGCTTTTCCGACCGATAATAAAGAACAAAGGTGTGATTTTCCCGAACACCCATTAGAAATAACAGCCCTAAAAGCCGAGAGAGTGAATTTTGAAAACGATATCTGGGAGAAAAAGAAAAAAATCGCGGAATTAGAAAAAGCCTTAGAAAATAAGCAATCCGAAATAAACAAATTAAGTGCTAATAAAAAAACCGCTGAGCATATAAATTTTTCTGAGAGAGAGGAGGAAATCAGGAAATTAAAAAATGTTTTGGTAGACAAAGAAGCTGAAATTACTGCTCTACGAGGAGAATTGTCAGATAGTAATTCGTGATTGAAAAATGCCCGAGAAGAAAACGAAGAATTAAACAAAAAAATAGAAAAATACCAAGGAAAAGGAAAAAAGCAAGATGCGGACTCGCCTTGCCGTCAATGCGAGGGATTGCGACAACAACTTGCTAGCCTAACTAGTTTATATGACAAACTGAAAGTCGAGAAAAAGAGCATTGAAAATTTTGCCGAAAATAGCAAATCAGATAATAAAGAACATGACCTAGAAGAAAAATTAGCAGATAATGAAGTTAATTTAGCCCTAATTTTGGCAAGTTCAGAAAATAAAGACAAGGAAATAAAAAAACTAGAAGAAACGTTAAACGAGGTTATCAAAACCAACAATGAGGAGGGGGAAAAATACCAAACCGAAATTGGTAATTTACGAACAAAGATTACTGAATTAGAAAAACAAATAAACGAGCAAGAAAAAGTTAATCGACCAACCCCAGAAGATTTAGAAAAGATTAAAACACTAGAACAACAAGTAAAAACCGCT